ACCAAAACTGCCGCCGTCCCGCACCGACCGACTGTATCATGGATGGGGCGTTGGAGAGCGAGAGAGCGAGAGCGGGCGAGCTAAAGAGCAGGGTGAACAAAACACAGAAACAACGGGAAGGGAAAATTGGACGCAACCAAGCAAATGGACGTCATATCGGAGCGAGTTAATTTTCGTCGTCGTGCTTGGAGAGAGAATGAGAGTCGGCGGCCACGCCTGCTCCATTCACACGTAGCCGTGCGTGAGCTCCCAGGATGCAACGCGCGCGGGGCGCGCAAGCCTCTGGACTCCAGCAGCGCCTGCCTCCAGGGGCGTAGGCAAGAGCCACAAGCACGCTCTCACGCTCACGCTACGGGCCGGGGGCACGGCACGCAGGAGCCGCCGCCGCAACGCCGAGCCGCCAAGGAGCAGGAGGAGGCCGGTGCTCGCATCCCCTCCCCGCCGCGCCGCGCTCCCCCACCACCCCACGCCACCGCGGGCCGAGCCGCCGACGGCCGCCGCCAGGGGGCAGCAGCAGACGGCTCGGGTCCAGCCCGCGCGCGGCCCTCTCTAGCGCCCCTCCCCACCCGGGATCGATACCCTCGCGCTCCTCCTCTGCGAGCGCTCTCTGCGTCGCTCGCTCTACGTCGCTCTGCCGCCGCAACCAGCCACCGGGTTGCTGAGCTGCGTCCGTGTGGGTTCAGTTCAACGTCGTCGGACCCAACAGGTCGCTAAGCCGGGTGCCCCTCCACCGTACTCACCAACCCCCTCCTAACCCCGGGGATAATTTTATTTTTCGTTTCATTCTTCTTTTACAGACGCGGAGAGAGAAGGGGAGGAAGGGCGTAGTATTTTAAAATGCGGCCAGCGTGGTCGGCCGGCCTTCTGCCTACTTCTGCCGCCAGGCGGCTGCTGCTGCACTTCCGGAATGCAAGCCTCGCCGGGCTACGCCGGGCCGAGCCCAACATGGCTAAGGGCAGGCTAAGGCGCACACTGGCATGCGACATTCCAGCGCAGTGGTGGTGGGGGATGCAGGAGGTGGGAACGAGAAGCAGCACGGCGAGGAGCCCTTACTATACATACCAGTGACCTCGTTTGACGCATTAATTACAAGAGGAGCAAAGAAGAGGACGGCATTAAAAGGGACTTTGACTCAACGAAAGAAGGAGGAGGAGGGGGGGGGGGGAGGAAAGCAGACTGAGCTTTATAGTTGCGATACGATGCTCGCCGACGAATGGCTTTTGGCTATTCTCTCGACTCATCGTAACGAAACGGTAGGCAGCATTCTCCACGCCCCGCTCCGCCCCGCCGCACAGCCGGGGCGCCCATTCAACTCTGCATGAGTAGAGAAAGTGCAGCAATTAGCTCAGTCGTGACCTACAGCAACCCCCCCCCCCCCCCCTGCACCCTTCTCCCACAGTCTCCCTCTCTTCCC